GGAAGAGGAGACATAATGGATCTATTGATCTTGTTGATGAGACCAGCCGTATCCTGTTAATGTCTATGTTAATTAGCTTCCATGTACATTTTGCTTGAAAATAACAAGGAAGTTACGATTTGATAAGAGATAGAGACAAGAAAGCTAATACCAACCAATGCTTTAAATGAAGGCTGATGAGCAGTAATCTCAAAGATACAGCAGCCTGTGCAAAAATCATGTTGTTTGATTCACTTCATTAATTGAGACATAGCACAAAGTTGTTTACATGTTTGGGGTTGTACTCTTACCCAGAGACCATATGTCGGACTTATATCCATACGGTATATTTTCTAGAACCTCAGGGCATAATCTGTTCGGAGTGGCAGAAACCTGTTTCAAAATATAGCAAATGAGATACTAAATAGAATCATTGTTTCAACATACTTGTGCACAGAGGTAATTGATTTTTTTTTTTTAAAGAAACTTAGGTTCCAACATCAACATTTTCCACGCCATGTAAAGAAATACAAAAGGGTAATACCGAGGAAGATGGCTTTTCTGGATGGAGAAGTTTTGCCAAGCCGACGTCACCTGTAACATTGGTGGTATTTCGGTATTTCAAAAGTTGTTGCTTAGAGCACATAAACGAAAGGAACAATCATATTTTGATTAGGGATTGAAACCGTGTTTCCAATCAATCCTTCATTACCAAGCTGGATGTCCTCATCCTCTGTTAGGAAAATGCTTGAGCACTGCATAGATACTACTTTAATCAGACTGTAATCTTTCGCGGAAGAACGAACACAAAACATAAGGAATGTTTGTCAATATACCTTGAGATCCCTATGAAGTACACGGTTTGAGTGCAAGTAATCAACAGCAAGTAACAACTGGGTCAACCATTTGAAGATTTTCTGCTCAAGGAAAAGGAAATTTGATTACCCACAAATCAATCACCAGTATTTTGATGGGAAGAAATAAGGTGTGAAACAGAAAGAAAAAGAAAACGAAGTGGAATGATACCTCCTCCGGGAATAACTTTCCTCTGGCTTTTCTAATAGCCTCAGCCCTGATTCAGAAGGAAAATGATGATTCAGATACCGTCATCTATAATTCATGGTCAAATCTATATGACCACATTACAACCAGAAAACTTTAGACAAAGCAACATTAATTCACAGACCCAGATAAGTCAGAATCACTTCTGTGACAGGAAAAGTAGAAACGAAGTTCTAAGCATATTTTACCATCCAACTGTTCATAAACCCAAGATTCAGTAACATGAACTAAGTTCAACACTCAAAAAATAAAACCCAAAGTCCACATGGCCAATAAAGGTTACATAGTGTATCAGAACTTACATGTTTCCTCCCTCACAGTGTGCAGTTACAAAGTAGACATTATTGTCCTGTGAAAAAGAGAAAAAAAGATGAACTGATGAAAAACCTAGTAGCTATTTCTTCTAAAGTACTCTATTACAACATAGTCAACATTATGGAAATCAAGGTCCCAATCCTTTTACCTTGTCAACCCAAGAATCCTTGCATTGCACTATATATGGATTATTTAATTTCGCGATCAAGTTCATCTGCAACATGAACAGACGAATGTAACAATTTTCTGTGGAATTTTGGGGAAAAGGGTGAGGAATGAAAGTTAAAACACATTATGTGAACTATACGAAGCCATTCAAAAGAAATAGAACCCGGTGAAAATAGGATCACAATAATACAATAACACCACACTGACTAATATCATTTCATTTCCCATAACATTATAATTTTCCAATACCATAATTTCACATGATTTTGGTAAAGCTAAAAGTCAATTTCAGGCAAATGCATTTACCTGAAATGCAAGAAGGGCATGTCTTAACAAACGCAAATGAACGAAGGGATAACACTGAAACTACTGGATGTCCAAAAGAACCGGTGCAACTAATGACCAAATCTCTTCACAGCTAAAGCTAGTTAGATGATTATATTGCAAAACAATATTCATATCTACCCAAAAGGAAGTTCGGACAAAAATTCAAAATCTTGAAGACACATAGCTATAGATCAAGATTCGGCGAGCATATCACCTCGTGGTAAGCAGTCTGCTTAAACTTCTCTGTCTGCTTAGCCAACCGAATCCGCTTCATTGCATACCTACGGATACAAGAAAAGCAAGACATGATATAGCGTAGACCCCAACCAACTGAAACAAGCTTTTGATCAAACACAAAACATCAAGATAAGAATTGAAACTACACAAACAAACTGGCGAAGAAACCTGTGAGCTTTTCTTTTACTTCACTAAAAGAGAGATGAATCAAATTCCTTGAGACTAAATCTAGTAACATTTCTTCCGGACAATAAACATAAATTTGAGTAAAACATCTGATCATGCCAAGTCAAAGAAAGCAAAACCCATCTTCGTTTCGTGGTCTCCAACAACTAGAAGAAATCATATGCATTTGCCATTATTACCCTAACATCAACTCCTATCAACAGTATCAAGATAATAAAAAAGATTAGCTAACAAATTTCTAATTATAAGCACAAACTAGAAAAAGGGTTTGGCTTCAATTCAAAGAAAGATCCACAGAGGAAAATAAAATTGGAAAATAGCAAAGATTTCCGTTTTACTTCTTGTTCTCGGTTTTGTGGAGAACCACGAAAGAAGAACCAAACGAGCCTTTCTCAATTTGCTTCATGACTTGATAGTTCTCGAGCTTGGACTTGTCTCCTTCACTTGCATCGACCTCCATGGCAGAGAATCTTCAAAACCCTAAAGTAAAAAAAAAAAAAACCGAAAACCAATTTCAACTTAGAGATCCAAACGAGACTCAAACCACACAAAAAGAAAGATCAGCTTCAGAAATAGAAAGAAGAGGCGAAAGCAAGTGAAACTACCACACAACAAGAATGAAATTCTGCAAACTAGGAAGCTGAGGAAGAAGATGAGTCTATTACAGGGCTGTTGAAATGGCAAAGAGAGAGAGAGAGGTGGGAGGCCAAATCGAAATAAAAGCGGCATTGACACTAATTAAAACAGTAATCGAAAGATATATTTAAAAAAACGTAATGATTAATTCAAGACAATTAATTTCAACTTTGGGAGGGAGAGCGATCCCACTCGGACGTTATATATATATATATGTTTTTGGTGTAAATGTATATACAATTGTGTGTGTACATAATGCAGAAAAATTAAACAAACATTGTATATTAATTTAAAAAATAGACAAAGTTAAAATGAAATTAGCCGCCGACAAAAGGGGAAGAACGAGGCGACACCGAGGGTCGGTCCCGGGGTGGCCCTATCTCATGAAATAAATTCTTACATCCTTTTATCATAAAAAAATGAATATATAAATAAATAATAAATGTGGAATGGGAAGAGCAAGTGTGCCTCTTAATTAGAAAGGGACCCCAATTGATTACACGTTCAGATTCATTATGATCTAAATACACTTTTTGCCAAAATTTAAATCCGAACTCCGAATATAAACATTCTATAGTCTTCGTTATAATCGATAGTTGTAAAAGTTATCAATAAATATCATTTCAAGAAAATAATTATTTTTTGAAATAATTTTGTCTATATTCATATTAATAAACATGCATAGCTATAGTTATATTTTTTTTTTGGATAATCAGATATTCTATACCAATATCAAGACTAATTTCGAAGTTGGGAGCCAGCGAAATAATTTGGAATATACACTCATTCCCCAAACTTAACATTCGAATTTGAGACGGAACAAAAGTTTTGTACCCATATTTATATTTATAGTTATTGTTAGTCTCTTGAGGGCAAGATTACCTCCAAAACAATTAAATGTGTAAGAGATTGTTACACAAGAATGAATTAAGATTTGTGATAATGACATTCTACTTCGCATGTTATGTTTGTTCTAAATCACAATTAAGTATTTAATTTGGATTTTAGGGTTTAATATTAATTTGAATTCTATTATGGGTAAAACCTAATTAGATAATTAAGGTATAGAGTTACTTTTAGAAATTTCATCTTTCTATTGTCCTAATAATAGAATTAATGTTCTCTATATTCTATAAAAAGAATTTTAAGCTCTTAAGTTTTGTTTAATCATCTTGAAAACAATTAAACCTCACACTAATTCTCTTGTATATATCTAAGTAGTTTGTGTGAATTATGTAAGTTATATCTTGTTAGTTTTAGTTTTTCATCAAAACAAAATATTTGAAAAACCTGAAATTATCTAACAATTTGAAACAAAACCAATATACGTAGAATATATGAATTATGGTTGGACTCCACCCATGGTTGGAGATAAACATGTGAATTCCAAACAAAACCATTTGATCGAATAGGTAATCCGCCCAAATCGAAACCCTAATCACCGAAACCGAAATCTCGAAGGAGAAATTGAAAAACCGAAACCCTAACCCACCGGCGACGGACATTGTATCGAACATGTCGCATGCAAAGACCGGTTTAAATAACGTAAGAAGAATTCACCGGAGGTCTCGAGGAGATTTAAACCTGAGATTGAAGAAACCCATGTCAGTTTTAAGAAATTACGTAAACTGAAATTCCTAGGAAGTGATAACAAACCCAGTTTCGGCCGATAAGTCCTCCGCCGTGTTCACTTCCGCTCTCGTTCCGTCGCTCAAAACGACCGTACAGTCTCCGGCGCTCTGGGTTTGCGCATGTTCATGGCTTGCTTGCGACTTGTATGAGCTCTTTTGTTGTCGGTGTCGCTGAGCGAGTGACGATGAATCGGCCACCGGTGTTGACAGAGATTCCCGACAAGATTTCGCCTCTCGCCGCCGTGAAATCTCGGACCGCCGTGGGCATTTGGTCTACGTTTTGAAGCTTTTTGAGCATTCGGGTTATTTGGAATTTCAATGTCTACTCGGAAATTGCCAAATTGGCGTTCTCTCAGTCCGAGTGTTCTGTTTTGCTGCGAGGCATGTTTGTGCCTTAGCTCGGGTGCCACAAAAGCGATGTCCGCGAGCCAGTTTGCGGTCGTTTTCAGGCGAGATTAGGGTATTTTTCTGGATAGTAACAAATCAACATGCCAAGATATGCAGCAATAATCTTATTCTCCATTCACCCAAATATTGTGTGTATATATACATCAAACCGAAAGATCAATCGTAGAAAAACCGAATACTAGACCTAGTAGGACAACAGTGAGTACTCGTGTATATTTGAAATATGAATATATCTATGAGGTTTCGATTATTGCTAATTCATTCAGGACAAAATGACCTATCCGGAAAAAAAAACTGATGTAGTAAAATCCAGGTGGAATATTCAAAATAATTCAATGTTCCTATATATAACTGTAGATGCAGAAAAGCCATCTGTTAATTAACCGCCTTGAATTGTTATGAAGAAGACTTAACTAAGTTTATTTTTCATAATTTTCAACCAATTTGTCTCATAAACTTAAATGTCACTTCTTATGCGGCTTTCATCTCTCATATATATCTGAAACTTTGAAGAACCTAATCTGATTTCAGCTATAAGAGATACTTTGAATCATTTAGAGGGTTCGGTCAAACACGAGGAGAAGAAAGAAACGGCGTTTTGTAAATAAAAAAAAAACAGAACAGTATATTATCTTCTTTGTAATCTCCGTTCTCTTGTCTTTTCTTTGTTTGGTCCAAAAAAAAAAATAACGGACTATCGAACTCGAGTTTATGCAACCACCCAAAACGATCCAACACCGAAAGAACATTACGAAAACAATCATAAAAGACGGCGAGGCAGGCAGCCGGGCCCACAACACAACAGTCAAAGGAAAAGGCATTCTAAAGTCAAGCTTATGTCCTCGGTCTCATGAGGCTGCGCACGTGACTTTATCCCGTTTCCATTTCCATTTTATTTTACACATAAATATCCAATATTATTATATTACATATATTGGTATAATTAGAGGATATTTGTTAAAATAATAGCACTTATTATTTTAGATTTTGTGCTCATATCATATTTTTGTGTTAATTAAAATGCCCCAAATTTTATTTATTATTCAAAAATATTTTATTTACAAAAATTGTCTTCTCTAGCCCTGCGCCCACGATCTCTCCCTTCCATTTTACATTTTTTTTATCTTTCATCTTTCTAATAAAAACCATTATTAATTGGTCTCTCTTTTACAGTTTGAATCGAAGAGATTAACAATTGATAAAATTGATTTCATTTAGTTTCTATTTATTTATAATCAAATAAAAATCTCAGAAATAATATTTTGGTTAAAAAATATTATTTGAAAGTATATTTTTTTTACAATCTTTGAATTGTTTTTTTTTGTCGCTGTAAGCAAATAACTCCTTATAATACATTAAAACGGTAGAGAATACATATGAAAAGTAATGTGTGTGTATATATACATGTACGTTTTGAAGGTAACAACGTGTCCAAATATTCTCCTCTTTCTCTCGGTTTCCTTCTCACCTTCCTTTTCCTACTTTTTTGATATTTATATTCTACACGTATTATTTTTAATATACTGAATATATAAGAGAAAAAACCCTAAAAATTCCTGAACTTGTATTTTGGAGTAATATTAATTCCTAAACTTGTAGAGGTGCCTATTAATTCCCAAACTTGCAAAATTGAACACGTTAAATCCTGAACTTGTTAAACGGTTCCATATTCGTCCATAGCGTTATTTGGTCAAAAAAACGAGTTGACCGATCCGACGTGGCGCGTGACGTGGCGAGC